ATCATCATCACCACCATCATCACCACCATCACCATCATCATCACCACCATCATCACCACCATCATCATCACCACCACCATCGCCGCGGCGTCTCTCTGAAGGAGGGAGTGGTCCCTGTTCTCCGACTAGCAGAGAAACAACAGCTTTAAACCTGCAGCTTTCTGCTGCATCATCCCATCAGAACCGGGCCGACGGGTCCATCTGGCCCGGATCTCAGGAACCAGCCAATCAAGCTGCAAGCTGGACGGATTCGTTTCCCGTCGTTTATGAGCCGAAAACATGCAGTCAGAGCAGCAACATTTCACAACAATGTTGATCATGTTTTAGAGGAAAACAGCATAAAAATATCAGAATTTAGACATTAAGCATAAATGTAAATATTATTTTATTTTTTAGCGTATGAGGTGTAATATTTCAGCAGTTTTTAACTGAAGGATAGTTTAGATGGAAAGGAAACAAACTCTTTTAGGTTTTTAAATAACATAAATATAAAGTAAATGACATCCTCAGCGTTGGAGTAAAACAGAAAATGACTAATATCCGATGCAGCATCATTCATGGATTCACAGCAACCTGCCATGAAACTGAAGTTACAGCAAATCGTCCAACGAGCCGCTCGGTGGAGCAGAGGCTGAAAATCCTCCTCCCATCACTGAACTGTGACCTCCAGATGATGGTTCTGGTTCCGCTCCGTCATAAAACTCAACGCTCATAACTTCCTGATGCCACAGAGGTTGAAGAGTTACAGCAAAAAACAACAGAGAAAAATAAATTCATGTTAATGTTTGCATGACGTTATTCACTGATGCTAAAGATTCGCCACCCGGAACCAGAAACAGCTGACTGGGCACCAGGTACCGGCTGATTTCATGAATCAGTTCTTCATGTGAATATTTTCCATATTTACTCAGATTATCTTGTATTAAAATCTGTTTGAGGATTAAAATAAACGCTGGAATCTGTCAGGAGCTAAAACGTCTTCACAGCTGAAGCTGGTCCCACTGGGCTCCTCTGATGGTTCTGGTTCTGGTTTAGAGGAAGCAGATTAATCCCAGATCATCACATTTTATTATCAGTCTGAGCCATTTGGGTCATTTCTGAATAAAAATATGGAAATGATACTGAACAGCATAAACAGCAACAATGAACTTCAAATGAATCGGATTCAAACTGCAGTTTATGGATTTCTGCATCATTTCAAAGTTATTTTAAATGCAGAGAGAAACCAGATGAAACAGTCAAACTGATTAAATCAGAGGCGTCCGAACCTTTTACCACCACGGCCAAAATCATCACGTTACAGAAAAAATCTAATCAAAATATTAGCAGAATAAAAACACAAAAATACCAGAAGAAAGTTGTTTCAATGTGACCAGCTCAGTTTGGCTGCTGATAATCAGATGTGTTAATAGATAAAGTTTTATTTTCTCACAAGACGCTCAATATTTATAACATTAATTTTATTTGCCATGGAGAAACTCATAATATTACTATTTTATTTCCCTAATGGACCATCCTATCCTGGTAAAATTATGACTTTAATCTTGTAATATTTTGACTTTATTGTCATGTTTTATTCTGAAAAACCTTCTCTGTAACAACCAACAGGGGGCGCCCAAGTGTGTGCAGTGAGTTTTTGTTCTAACAATGAGAGCCTAACGATGCTTGAGTATTAAATCAGAAATAATTTTTTATTTAAATATGTTATTAGTCTGTGAAAATGTCCTAAAAGAAGAAAATAAATATGAGAAATCATATCTGACCATTTAAAGTCAGTCGGTTGCTTTAGTTACATCGTTTTTGTGTGAAAACCTTCATTTTGTTTTCATGCTGCTCAATCTGCCACATTCTAGATTTACAGTCGAGGGCCGCAAAAGCTCATTCAGAGGGCCATAAACGGCCCCCGCGCCTCACTTTGAACGGCTCTGCTGAGCCTCAGAGGAACCAGTGAAAGCAGAGGAAGTTTCTCTGATGGTCTGACTGGAAACCAGTTCTGACACCTTCAGGTCAACGACCCAAACCTGCTGCTGAATGAACCAGGTTCTGAACCACGACCTGAAACGGATCAGAACCAGAAATCAGAAATGAAACATTTCAGCAATGACACAGAAGCTGAACTATAAAATGATGCCAACAATCTGCTACAAATTATTTGGGTTATTAACATGTTATTAAGGATCAACAGGAAAACTGGACATTTTTCCTGATTATTGCATCTGGATCAGAACAACGTCATCAAACTCCTCCTGAATTTAAAATGCAGAAACTTTACGAAGAGGTAACTGGGTTCTACCGGTACCAGAACCAAATGGGTCAGAAATCAGTCGTCATGGAAACATCACATGACAACAATTACAGTCAATAGTTTAACATAAAAATAGAAGAAACAACAAAAATATTTTATTAGGAAGAAACTGATTTAATCAGAGTTTTACTGGTTTTACTGGTTTTACTGGCATCATAACAGAACCTCTCTTCACTGTTTGGAAATTATTTCCTTTATTCTTTATTTTTAGTTGGATTAAAACTCAGTGATGAAGTTTAACTGAACAGTTTTTACTCAGATGGATTCTGAACATGCAGAGCAGAACCTTTTCCAGAACCGGTTCCCCTGGTGACTCTGAGCCCACCTGAGGCCCCTGGGGCCCGGCCCCCACAGCGGGCCCCAGCAGAGCCGCAGCCTGGCCCAGTTTCCACCGGGTCACTGCAGCGCTGTGTCCAAACACGGAGGCATGACGAGGATTAGAACATGGCTGCACCTCAGGACACACACACACACACACACACACACACTCTCTCTCTCTCTCTCTCTCTCTCTCTCTCTCTCGTCCATCTGCCTCTGTGACTCATGAATGTGAACATGGAGACAGATTTAGCATTTAGCTCTTTATTAAATGGACACAGTTCCTTCCTGCTGGGCCCGGCGGCCATCTTTGTTCCTCCGTTACCGCCTCGGTTTGGGGAGGGGAGGGGGGAGGAAGAGGGGGAGGGCGCTGTGAAAATGGAGGACGAGCATCAGTGAGGCTGGGAGCCGAGCTGCCCTGTTGCCATGACAACGCTACAGGCAAAGTGGGTCAGCGGGCTGCTGCCGCACCCATGTTGGCATGGCAACAAGACGGTCAATTAAACCTGAGCAGCATGATGACACACACGCACACACACACGCAGAAAGTGCCCCGCTCGTGTGTGTGAACTTGTGAATTGAAATCATGAGTCTTTTGTGATGCAACCTGTGGGCGGGGCTTAGACTCCTACTGACACAGCTGAGACGTGATTGGCTGATCGTCCCGTCAGTCAGGAGCAGCAGACCTAAACGCCCCGCCCACGGAGACAGACCGGCTCCAGACAGGAGCAGACGAGCACAGAAACACGGATTCACAGAAACTTGACTTTCCTTTCAGTTTGGTGATGATAAACGGGGCACCGGATGACTAAAAGTAGAAATGACTCGTGGTTTTTAACCAAAGGCTAAAGAGAAATCTGACGCCTTCATCTTGTTTCCACCTGGTGAAGGAAGTTGCTCTCAGTGTCTTCAGAGGTTTTTGTGTCGTTTCCTTCAGTGGTTCTTGGTGCAGCGCCCCCACAGGCCAGGAGGGGAACAGGTTGGTTTGACTCAGAGCAGAGAGAAAGAGAACCACAGCATCTGGAGATGTTTTATGTTTGGTACCAATAGAACCGGGTCTACTGGACCATCAGGAGGAAAACATTCAGAAAGGGAGCATTGCCTGCTTCATGCAATCTCTCTGTCTGCACCGCTGAAAGTTCACTCACCTCCGCATGGCCTTCATTTCTGTTAAGTTCTGCTGGGAGAATCGGACTTCCATCCTCAGATAGTCTGTAGATCTACAGAGACGGTTTTTATTTGGGTTCCTCATAAAATCCACGAGACAGAAATCAGTTCAGTTCAGTGATCCAGTTCTGATGAATCAGCCTGGTTCTGTTTGTTATGATCCAGTTAAACTTCCAGTTCATTTCAACTGATTTCCTGATGACTTTTACATAAATTGGAACATTTACACAGTGGGCAACGGCCCAGGGTGGCATCTTGTGTGGGGCAGCAACTCAGACTAAAGTAAAAATTCTCCCTAGAAGAGTCTTAGTTCTCTGGACCCAGTCTCTGGTTCTGATCAGGTTCTGGTCCAGTCTGGTAACTGATAACAGTGATGATGATGATGATGATGATGAAGCCGTTGTGTCTCCAGGCTGTAAGGAGTGCTGCGAGCGATGCGTCGGCAGTCTGCCCTGGGCGTCGCTCATCGCCACCATCTTGCTCTACATGGGCGTGGCCTTGTTTTGTGGGTGTGGCCACGAGGCTCTGAGCGGCACCGTCACCATCCTGCAGAACTACTTCGAGGTGATCCGAGCTCCCGGAGACGTGCTGGACGTCTTCACCATGTGAGTCTGGCCCTCAGCTAGAATTTACCCAGAATTCAGCTTCCTGTCCGGCTGGCGCTGACAAGCGCCTCCAGTTGCTCTGATTCATGGGAGTCTGTGACGATGTAGGATGGCATGAGGCACTGAAAAGAGTTTTAACCGTTTTCACAGAATTCTAAGATTAACGCTAAATCCCAAAATTCTGAATTTAAAGTTGGAATTCTGAGATTGAAGTTATAATTCGAAGATTAAAGTGTAAATTTTCAGATTAAAGCTGTTTGTTTTTTTCGGTAGTGAATTATCTTTACCTGCCCAGGTGTTCAGTTCTTAAGATCCTTTAAAGCTTAAATCCACTTAATGTGTGAAATGAAACCTGATGTTGGATTTTAAGGGCGTGGCAGCTTCGTTTCTACTGTAAACATCTGCAGCTGGTGTCAATCATCACCTGACCTGACGCCTCCCAACATGTCCGCCATCGTCCGGGCAACAGTGACTCAGACGTGTGAGCAGATAAACAGCGGCGTGTCGCTCTCTCTGCAGCATCGACATCCTGAAGTACATCATCTACGGCCTCGCCGCCGGCTTCTTCGTGTTCGGAGTGCTGCTGCTGGTGGAGGGCTTCTTCACCACCGGCGCCATCAGGGATCTCTACGGAGAGTTCAAGATCACCGCCTGCGGACGCTGCCTGACTGCTTTCGTAAGGAAACCCGGCACTTCGTGATGCTTCAGAGAAACAAAACTGAAAGGAAAAACCAGAGAAATCTGACATGAACCTTTCAGGAGGTTCCACTTTGCTTTAAAGTTCAATTTATGATATGATAATCATAAAATATATGATTCTGGAAGGTTAATTTTATGCACTGAGATTAAAGCTGCAGTAACATTTATAAGAAACATGTTTTATTTCCATATTTGTTAAAACTGTCAACATGTGGTGACAGTTTGCTATGAGACAGATAAAATCGACCTCCTCCCTGAGCTGCACCAAAAACAACCAATCAGAGCCAGGAGGAGGAGCTTATCGCTGTCAATCACATTGGTGCGCTCACTGCTGAATGTGCTAAATGTGGAGAAATAACTCACTGTTACAGGAAAGTCATTTATCCACTGTCAACATTGGCTATGCTAACTAGCCTTAGCATTCATGGCAGCTGGAGCATAGCAGAGCGGAGGAATGAGCAGCAGCATAAGAAATTGTGATTGGCAGCGCTGAGAACCACCTCCTGGCTCTGATTGGTTGTTTCTAGTTAGCACTGGGAGAAGGCAGAGCAGCTTAATTTATCCTTAGATTATCTCATAACAAACTGTCATGACATGCTGAAAATTTCAACAAGTGTGTAAAAAAATACTTTATAAAAGCTACATGCTGCAGCTTTAATGTCTGTGCTTTAGGTTTAAGTAATTAAAGTTTTATAACACATTTAAAAGCTGCACCAGCTAAAATCCTGGCTGAAGCCTGGGAGCCGCAGGGAGATGCTGGGTTCTCTGTTCCCGCGGTGAAGACGCTCCGTCTGGTTTCTGCTGGCCTGGAGCTCCGTCTCTCTGACTCGACTGCTTCTGTCTGGCAGCTCATGGTTCTGGCCTACCTCTTCTTCCTGGTGTGGCTCGGCGTCACGGCGTTCACCAGCCTCCCGGTCTTCATGTACTACAACGTCTGGTCCATGTGTAAGAACGCCACCTCAGTGGAGGGAGCCAACCTCTGCTTGGACCTGCGCCAGTTCGGTGAGTAGCACCAGAACCGCCAACCCAGAGCTGCACTTACCTCTGTCTCTACCTGGAACTACCGTTACCTGTATGCGTAGAGCGCCTTATGCAGCCCAGAAAACCCAAAGCGCTACATCAGTCACTCACCTGTTCCCACGCTGAAGGTGCTCAGCTGCAGGACATGATATTTTGGTTTGGTTTTGGTTGTGTATGTGTTTTTATTTCCATTTTATTTAATACTTGTGACTGTTGTGCTTCACTTTGAATATTTAAAATATCATCCAGTTCCACTCAGACATCTTCTTTACTAAATTCATTTTGTGGGTCTTTAAAGCTGCAGTTTGTAATTTATCATAAATATTTTATATATTTGTTGAAACATCATCATGTTGAGACATTTTGCTATGAGACAGATAATCTGTGAAGCAGTCGCGGTCTCCCAGTGCTAACCTCAAACAGCCAATCAGAGCCTGGAGGCGGGACTTAGCGCTGTCAATCACAATCTCATGTGGTGATACTCTCCTTGGTCTCTGCTGTGCTGCAGCTAGCATAGCATGCTATGAATGCTAAGGCTAGTTTAGCATAGCCACAGATGATGGTGGATAAACAGTTTTCCTATTCCTCACTATTAGCACATTTAGCAGCGAGTACATAAGGTGATTGACCTCCCCTCCTCCAGGCTCTGATTGGCTGATTTTTGGTGCATTTCTTCAGACGGCAGCAGCAGCTCAGGAGGTCGATGTTTTCATAGCAAACTTTCAGAGTGTGTGTGTGTGTGTGTGTGTAGATTTGGGTTGGAGGAACAGAACATCAATTTAAAAAACTAAAGAAAACTGATCAGTGATATGTTGATTCATCCATTGATCAGTGAACCGACAGAAGTACTGACTCCTGGTTGGTTCTGGTTCTGGTATCTCCAGCCCAGTCGGCGGTGGTCCGGCTTTGTTTCATATGATGTAATCTCTGCTCCGTCCTCCATGTTGTTCTGCTGCTTGTCCACAATAAGCAGCAACTCTAGTAGTGCTGCCACCTGCTGCTCAACATTTGCAACTGCAGACAGAAACACTGTTCCCATGGTGAGACCAGACTGACAGACAGGAAGACCCCCTCCATACCGGGCCCTCCTCCGTACCGGGCCCTCCTCCATACCGGGCCCTCCTCCGTACCGGGCCCCTCCCGTACCGGGCCCTCCTCCGTACCGGGCCCTCCTCCGTACCGGGCCCTCCTCCCAGTAGCTGCTCCAGGTCGTGTGAGGAGGATTGTTGGTGATGTTTTTGGTATTTTGCTTCCAGGAGCGGTGACTATCTCAGAGGAGAGGAAGGTGTGCATGGGCTCTGAGAAGTTCCTCAACATGTGCGATTCCAACGAGGTGAGCAGCACCGGACCGGACTGGACCGGACCGGAGATGTTGCGGATTTGGTCTGACTCTGGTTTTCTGTTTCAGCTGGACCTGACCTTCCATCTGTTCGTGTGTGCGCTGGCGGGAGCCGGAGCCGCCGTCATCGCCATGGTGAGAACAAACATACTCTGATCTGATGGGCTGAGAAACTCAACTGGGTTCTGCAGAACCAAAGTCACTATCGGCCATTTGCTTTGAAACTCATTGGATCTAAACTCTGAGGCTGTTTTTATGAGCTGCAGCTGCAGCAGCGTAGTTGGTAGCATGGAAGGTTTGGTTCTTTGCTCGGGTCGTTCTGCATGTTCAGGTCATCTGTCATCTGAGTCTCTGTGTTTCCCTGTGATGGTCTGGAGACCCGGTCCAGGTTGGACGCCCACCTGCCATCCAATGACGGCTAGAGAAACATACCAGCCCACGCCTTGCAGGTCCAGTACAGATGGAGAGACTTATGGCCACTCTGCAGCGCCATGCGGTTTCTGGTTCTACCTCCCAGCAGCGTCTATATTCAACATGACGTGGGTCCTCCAGATGCAGTCTGGTGAAATAAACTTCCTCTATGCGGTGGCTGGACGGGCGGAGAAGCTTCATCTGGACTCACGGTGGAGAGTTAAGGCAGTGCAGATCCAGAACACGACGAAACATGAAGCTCTTCAGGCCTGGAGAAACCCGAGTTCCCCCCGGATGGATGAAACGTGTCTGGGTTTCTGTTCGATATGTGGAAGACAACTTTCCGTTGCAGCTTCTGCATTTTCACCAGAGATTCCTGAACTTTCTTGTTTTCTCCTTTTATTTTCCCTCCCGATGGTCCAGTCGACCCGGTTCTGCTGGAACCTGAACTTCATCACCTGCTCCACCTCCAGCTGCTGTGGTTCTGAGTCAAACCAACCTGTTCCCCTCCTGGCCTGTGGGGGCGCTGCACCAAGAACCGACACAAAACCCTCTGAAGACACTGAGAGCAACTTCCTTCTTCACCAGACGGAAACAAGATGGAGGCATCAGATTTTAGCGGTTGGAGGATTTCTCTTTAGGCTAAAGACCAGGAGCCATTTCTGCTGCTAGCGCTAGGCTAGCACGTTAGCTTTGGTTGTATTTACCCAGAATGCCCTGCGCTGTAGTCCACTTCCTGCTTTTGGAGCGGTCTCTGGTCCTCTTAATTTCACATCCCAACCGAACCCAGACCTGGAGGACCAGAGGTCAGAGGTCGATTAGCATTCACACCTCGCCAACGGAATTGGACTTTGACTAGGCAGACGGACTGGAGTCGGGTCAAAGCGGACTGAACAGAGCTGGTGGGAATGATTGGTTAATGTCTCTGTGTCCCTCAGGTCCACTTCCTGATGGCGCTGGCCGCTAACTGGGGCTACCTGAAGGACGCCAGCCGGATGCAGAAGTACGAAGACATAAAGTCGAAGGAGGAGCAGGAGCTGCATGACATCCACTCCACACGCTCCAAAGAACGCCTCAATGCCTACACATAAACCCAGAGCCGCCAGAAACAACACACACTTACCTGTCAGACACACACATACTCATACACACACACACACACACAGCGGCTGATACAAGCCTGAGGACAGCATAAGAAAAACACAGAAAGAAAAGATGAAAACTCCGACACCATCATCATCCTCGTGTCTGCAGATCATTGGCTCTGGTGCTTGTTTGTCCTGAGCAACAACCTTTAACCTTTGACCTTGAACAAATAAAATCAGCTGGACCTTCTAAAGGTCCCAACGCTTAGCGGCCTGAACAGCAGAACAAATTCTTACAGCACAAGATTTACAGAAACCAGCGAAACAAACCAGAACCTGCGACCCAAAGAGCCGGAGCACAAAGTTTGTGCTGAAGCCGAGGATCCTGGCAGACACGGGGACGAGTCTGGTGTCTACCAGCTCATCAGTAAATAAGAGCCCCTTCCTTTAACCTGCAGCACCCACACCCACACACACACACACACACACACAGACATGTAGATGTGACTGAATGGTCGGTGTTGTGCAGGCAGTGTCGTTCGGTGGTGTCATGCTGTGTCGTGTCCTCTCACCACACTATGATGGCGGTGTTGCAGAGAAAAAGGTCCCTGAGTAAATTTGTGCCTCCTGGGTGCAGATGGGTCGCTTTGCCAACTCCCCCTCCCCAACCTGTTGCCCCCACCGTCCGGTTCCCCTGAAGTCCAGTTTCACTGGTTGCTCCTTAATTTCTTGAACTTTCTAATCGAAAACCAGCAAAATGACGACGATAAAGTCCCAGATCTAAAATTGTTGCTTCATTTAGTGAAACTATTGAGCAAACGGCAAAAAAAAAAAAAAAAGGATTTTAAAAACCTCCACTGAAGCTGGCGCCCCTCCCCGCCCCGTTTCCCCTGGACTGTAAAAACTCGTCGTTGTCTTCAGAGACAGCACATCTTAGCAGCACAAAGTCTTTTTGTCCTGGTCTCATCCGTCTGTTCTCCTCATGATTTTATCACTTTTGGGGGATTTTTGATTATTTATGTGTAATTTTAGCACTGAGGGTATTTAAGTGGGAGGTCAGGGGTCAGCTGGGAATAGGGTTTATGTCACATGTTCATGTAATGAGTCTGTATTTCAGTGGTTCTGCACACACACACACACACACACACACACAGCTTCTTTCTGTTGTCACGGTTTCTTCTGTTCTCAACCAGCCCGAATGTGACCAAATGTCCTCAGTAAGTTAGAAAACCACCGATGCGAACAGTAAGCACGTCACCTGGAGGCGATCCGAGGTCCAACCCACCCACAGTTTCGGGTTTCTGCAGGATGTGAGTCCCAGAACATCCAGGGGGCGCTGCTGGGTCTGGGAGAAGACGGCGATGAAACAGTGAATAAGCTGCGTGTTCAGGAATGATTTGCTCTACTGCGGCTTTTTGTGGTTTTACAACTTCTTTGGTGTCTTACATAATCTCCTCAGGTGCTTCAGAGCTGGAAAGCTGTAATCTGGATGATGTGGGATCGAATCAGATGTTTGAGATTTGACTTTTAAATCAACTTCTCACATTAAATTTGTCCAGAGAGCTGCTCAGTCTCTGTGAGATGCAGCGTTTTCAGCTCCTCAGACTAGATAGAAGAATTTTGTTTTGTGTTTTTGAGGCTGTTTGGGTTCGTTTGCGTCGGGACGGTGATGAGTCTCTATCTGCCAGTAGAGATGAGCCAGATTGGTTTCTGATTGGGCAAACGCGCGGCGAAACGAGCTGCAAGCACTAAAACGATGCAAACTCCCAGAAATTAAACAGAAAAACTCTGCACACACAGGAAAGAGAAGCAAAAGGTCAAATGTTGCAAATAGCAAAAACAGCAAATATGAAACCCTAAAGCTTGCTCTACTAAACGTTGGTCCTCCAGACCACCAGGGGGAGTCTGAACATTATGTAAATCTGCTGCTGTTCTGTAATATTATAAAAGACATGAAGGTAACGCAGCTTTTCTTTATTCCTGCAACTTTCTGCTGTACATCTCGACTCTGGTTGCAGATGATCTGGTGGCCGGCTCCCTCTGGTGGCCTGGAGGACTGACGTTTAGTGAAACGAGTTCACAGCGTTTTGTACTTCCTGCTGTTTCTGATATTTTCCCGGTTTGGTTCTTTTTGCTGAGGTTGCAGGATTTTGTTTTTACTGTTTCGATGTTTGAATCACTCGCCTGCAGCTCGTTTCAAAGCTTGCTGCGCGTTTGCATGCGGCCTTTGCATTTTCAATTTGTCTTCAGAAAGAGGAAGGTGACGTCAGTTTGATTTGGTCAGACACACACACACAAACACACACACACACACACACCCCACCGTCACTCTGAGCCATAATTCTCTTTTACTTTTCACTGATGACATCTCACTATTTTATTATCAACTTTGAAACCTTTTAAATGTGAAGCTATTTATTAGAAAGCGATGTGATTTTCTTATTGTTTCTGTGCCGCGGTACGAAGCGCCGCTCCTGCATCGACTCTGTACAAAGATAAACGTTTATGTGAGACAGTGGAGGCCGGGAGGTCCACTTCCTGTCAGAGTCTGGAGGAGGCGGCCCAGTCCCAATGTCCTGGGCCTCCGCTCTGCAGACAGCTGCGCTCACACAGAACCGGGCCTGGCTCGGTCCGGCTCAACCATCTCAGGATCACACACACCAAAAAACTAATAAAAAGCTTTCGGAGCAAATTTGATGTCCATCATTCTGATCCCGGGATCGTTGGCGACCCGGCCGGGCCGAGCCGGCGCTGTACTCCACGTTTGGGTCGGAACCGGGCCGGTGGTGTGGATGCAGCTGGAGTCGGACTCCTGCAGACTCGGCCCGGTCCAGGTGAACCTCGGCTGCAGCAGTCAGTATTTTTAAGGGTCTAGTTTTACAGTAACAGTATTCTATCATTTCATTGCCTGACAATGGATGTCTGGTCAGTGTTTTAACCTCAGATTAAAGAAAAAATAGTTTTTTGTGCACTTATTGACCATTGTGAGCTCCCTCTCCCTCCCTCCCCCCTCTCTCTCTCCCCCCCTCTCTCTCC